TTGTAAGCATTGATGAAGAGAGTTGTAGGTAGCGGGATGAAAGACGTCTCGCGTGTCGCAAGTTATAGCAAAAATTGGCAGAACACGTGGTCGAGTGTTGAAAGACGGAACTATCGTTAGAATATATGATGAAAAAGAAGAAAGAGAAAGGGAAAGAAAGAGAAAAAGAAAAAGTGGGGAAAAGGGAATATATAATAATAAAATAAAATAAAGTGAAGGAACAAAATATAGATAAAAATTTAGAAATCTATTGTTAACAAAAAAGGGGTTTAATAAAATAAAGGAAAATCTGGGAAGAAAAAGCGTTTACATATATATATGCACACGCGTACATATGTGCACATAACAGTATGTAAATATACAAGCCACCACACAAACATATGAATCTCCATACACGTATAGATATAAATACATGTACAAAATTAATATGTATTTTCATTGACCTTCTCCTTACCTTACATAAGCTTATATGTAAAGGAGCCATAGTGATAAATTCAATGATGTTATGAAGAGAGTGATTCCAATCAAACTGGTGACTAGAAAGTAGCCCTCAGTGTACAGGACAATTCTTTTATTGCTGACTAGTGCGTCATGAAGTAAATCATAAGTGGCAGAACATAAAATATAGTAGGTAGGTGAGGTGATATCTGTTAAAATTTAGGGGAAAAAGGGAGGGTGTAGGACTTACTCAACCGTGTATATATAGGATTAATACAAATATAAAAGTTGTCACTTAGTTGATTGATGTTATATTCAACACCCCTACTACAGAGTTTCATAGACGTGCTTTTGTAATTGTTTGGTCCACTCGTCAGGAGATTTTAGCAATTGACTGCGGATTTTCTAATTTTCGTTATTTCTATCCTAAATTACCAAATTTTAATTTATTGGGTTCAGTTGATCTTTTTGTGTGTTTGTGTGTGTGTTTGTGTGCGTGTTTGTATGCATGTTTGCGTACGTGTGTGTTTGTGTGTATCTGCGTATGTGCCGAATGTTGTCTTAATTTCTCCTTTTCATTATTTTCTTGTCTCTTTATCCTCTCTCCATATTTACTTTATTTCTCGTTCGGCTCTGAGTGTCAAAGAAAATGTAACAATATCATAGAGAGAGAGAGAGAGAGAGAGAGAGAGAGAGAGAGAGAGTATGTATGTATGTGAGAGAGAGAGGAAGAGAGAAAGAAAACGTTCTAAACTGTATTAACTGTACTCTCGAATATTATTTTGATTTACTTCACAACAGACGGAAGGCCACATTCTGTTTCAAGTATAATTTTATGTAATCTATTTGTTGCGAGAACGATGTGATTTTTTACTATAATATAATCAACGTTTCCTTTAGGGCAGTTTTTCCCAACCTGGCGATATCGCTCACCGGTGGGCGATTTCAACTGTTCGGTGGGCGATAAACAATTGTATAGAAAATGGTGGGCAATATAAGATGTCGAGTATTAAAAAAGGTATTTCAACATATGCCATTTGTAAAATAAAAAAAAATCAATTCAAATATGAAAAGAACCTGTATAAAAATAACACTACTACTACTACTACTACTAATAATAATAATAATAATAATAATAATAACAATAAGCGGGAGGCTAAATACGAACTGGGTCACAATCCTAAGGTATAAATTTTCCCGTAAATAATTTTGGTATTTTCCATAGTTTTGAGATGGGTCATTAAAATTCAAATACCTCGTTAGACAAAATAACATTTTTTTTCAGATGTAAATCAGATGACCAAGAACAACTTTGCCAGTAAAATTAAGAAGTGACCTCAGGATAATTTTTATTTAATATAAAATTGTTTTTACATTTTTTTCTATCTCATTGGTCATCTCGAAGTTATCAAGGCGGGAAAACTGTCCGTCAAAACATAATTTACCCATCACTGTATACTTTTGAGTATTTACTAAACATGCGGACGGTAGAAAAATCTTTTCATGTGAAAGTGTGCGATGACTCAAAAAAAGGTTGGTAATCCCTGTTTTAGTATAAGTGAAAATAAAAATAATCAAAGCTTCAGTTACAATGTTTATTGGAACATATAATAAGTATCAAAAGGAAAGACTTCAGATGTAAGATCCCTATTTTTTGTTAATCTAATTGAGATAAGCATCGGGGGAAACTAGGTTTTTCTTCCGTATCCCTATTCGCTACTTTTTTTTTTTTATCAAAACCTGAAGTATTTGTTTTGTTCATTGGTTTCTTATTTAGTCAAATTTCTAAATTTAGATTTTCTCATTTTGAAGTATATATTTATTTTTGATGTGTTGTCTTTATCTGCGTTCATTTACTTATAAAAAGATTATTTTTTACTTATCCAAAAATTTTGTTTTATAGCGTTGTTTCATTTTTCCCTTTCTCCCCGCTCCATCTAGGTTTTTTCCTTTCATCTCATCAAATATCTTTTCTTTCGCCTCTGTTTTGACATTTTTTCTTCTTCTTTCATGCAAAATAATTGGCAACTGAAGTAATTCATAATTGTTTAGAGCCTTCTCTAAAAGTTCTTTGATGTGCCGGCAAGAATACGCTATATCAAAACGCGCCCCGACGTACAACAATTGGTCAAAGAAAGTGTGTATAGGACTGGGAGAGGGTGCTTGTTTGTTGCTGTTGATCGTCTGGTTGCTTGATTTTGTGTGTTTGCTAGTTTGGTTGGTTTGCAGGCTTTACCAGTTGAGTTGTCTGCTCTTTTCATCTCCGCCATCTTTTGAAACTCGTTTCCTAAGATCCAAGTACGTTGACAGATTCATTGAAGTTAGATTTCAGAAAGTTTTTAGTACCAAGAGATGAAGGAAAAAATAATATCAAGACACCCTCTTTATGCGCTTGGGCCTTTGCAGTTTCATTAATTTTTCTCGTTTATACTTTCGTTTTTTACTCCGCTTTTTTTTTCAAAATAAAAGAAAATGTCTATTTATATTTGTCTGTTATTGTTTTCGTTTCTTTTTCCAAAGAGAGATGGATAAAAATATTAGAAGAGACTTTAAGATTTACAAAAAAAAAAAATAAAATAAAAAATAAAAATAACCCCAAAAATAAAACAAAAAAACAAACTTTTATTTATGCCGAGATGATAATCTGAATTTTAAAGCCTCCCCTACAAAAAAGAGAAAAAACACTCACTGGAACAAAACAAATATTGTCAAACGTGAAGAAAATGTGGTTGAATAAGAAGGATGGGAAATTTGAAAAAAAGTAACAGAATGCTATGATAAAGAGGGTGAATGGGAGAATAATTTCATTCATTTGTGAATAAGTCCTGGAAATATGTACGTGGCTACGAAAGAAATACGTAAAAGAAAGAAAGAAAGAAAGAAGGGCAAGATCAACAAAGAAAGTAATCATGAAAGAAAGATAGGAAGAAAGAAAGATAAGAAGAAAGAATGAAGGTATGATCAACGAAGAAAATAATAAAGAAAGGAAGATGAGACGATAGAAAGAAAGAAAGAAAGAAAGAAAGAAAGGTAAGATTCACAAAGAAAGTAATCAAGAAAGAAAGGAAGCAAACACGAAAAGGCAGAATCAAAGAAATAAATAAGTAGCATCACGAAAGAAAGAAAGAAAGAAAGAAAGAAAGAAAGAAAGAAAGAAAGGAGGATGTTAGGGAATGTGTGATTGAGGATGAAAGAATTTAGAGAAAGAAAACTTCGAGGAGGTTTGTAAAAATTGTGTGTTCGTGCCAATACAACTTACAAAGAAGGAACATTCGTGTGATGTGACATCTTCAATAGACTGACGAGACCTTTACCGCATTTTAAAGGAATAAAAGTTTGGAAATCAGAAGAAGATCAAAGGCAAAAAGTGTAAATGGCATCAGGAAACCGGGCGATAAGTCGACGATAAAGAAAGAAGAAAAAGAAAGAAATAGAGGAAGAAAAAAAGAATAGAACGAAGGTTTCCTTCTACTCGGGTGGGTAGAAATGTTTTACTGTCGTTGATAATAAAAGAAAAGTTAACAGAGAAAAAAGAAGAATGGGGAAGAATAACGACAAGAGGAAGATTAAAATAAAAGAGAAAATAGAACAAAACAATGGGTAAAAGAGTGAAGTGAAGGAGTAGAAGAAAAAGTTATCAAAGAAGAATAAGAACAAGAAGAAGGTGACAAAAAAGAAAATGCTTCAGAAGAAAGTGACGAAGAAGTTAAAAAATGGCAAAACAGAAGGTGACAAAGAAGTAGAATGTGACCAAGAAGAAAATGGCGAAGAAGGTGACGAAGAAGATGAAAAAAGATGAAGAAGAAGAAGGTGACAAAGAAATTGAATGTGACCAAGAAGAAAATGGTGAAGAAGAAGCAGAAGAAATAGGTGACAAGGAAGAAGAATGTGACGACGAAGAAGAGAATGGTGAAAACCAAGAAGATGAAAAAAGGTGAAAAAGAAGGTGACAAATTAGAATGTGACGAAGAAGAAAATGGTGGAGAAGGTGACGAAGAAGATGATAAAAGATGATGAAGAAGAAAGTGAGAAAGAAGTAGAATGTGATGAAGAAGAAAAAGATGAAGAAGGTGACGAAGAAGATAAAAAAAGTGTGAAGAAGAAAGTGACAAAGTAGAATGTGACGAAGAAGAAAATGGTGGAGAAGGTGACGAAGAAGATGAAAAAAGATGATGAAGAAGAAAGGTGACAGAATGAAAAAAAATGATAGAATGATGACCAAGAAGAAAATGGTGAAGAAGAAGAAGAAGATAAAAATAGGTGACAAGGAAGAAGAATGTGACGACGAAGAAGATGGTGAAAACCAAGAAGATGAAAAAAGGTGAAGAAAAAGAAAATGGTGGAGAAGGCGATGAAGAAGATGAAAAAGTGAAGAAGAAAGTGAGTAAGTAGAATGTGATGAAGAATAAGAAAATGATGAAAAAGAAAAAGGTGACGAAAAAGATGAAAAATGTTGAATAATAATAAGAAGGTGAGAAAGAAGGAGGAGGAGGAGGAGGAGGAGGAGGAGGAGAAGGAGGAGGAGGAGATGATAAAGAAGAAGAAACTGGCGAAGAAACCAGATGAAAGTTCTTTTACCGCTCAATAAAACGTTTTTTAAAAGCTCTCTCTTTCTACGTCTGCATGTCTCTCCTTTCTTTCTTTCTCTCTCTCTCTCTCTCTCCCTCTCTCTCTCCATCTCACACACACACACGCATACACACTTCACTATTGCAGCTCATGTTTCAAACATTTAAATACATCAAAAAATTAAAAGCTTATCTGCTTTTTGAGGAGGAGCTGAAACAAAAGAAACTAAGCATAAAACAAAAATAAATAAAAACGAAAAAAATATACAACGAAAGATGAATAAATGAACCAAACTAAGTAGGGAAAAAAACGAAACAAAAGCGACAACGGGGGCAATAGGAAGAAACTAAGGATGAGAGGCCCGTGGCGACATGACGTTGGGGGTGATGAGGTTTACACACACTGCCCGGGCAATGGTGGAAAGGGGGGGAATTTGACAGTGTGCCTTGCTCTTTAGCAGACACGCTACAATCTGTTGTGGCGGGTTCTCTTGATTTATTCTCCGCCTGCTTGACTTCCATAACTTCGCAATAAAAAAGGCGAAATCGGTTTGTCTATCAACTCCAGACTTCAAAAGCAATCAAGGCTGCAAACGTGAAGCTCTTTATACGTAATACGCTAATGTCTCTAATGAAAAGATTTAGCACGGAACACTATCATAAGTAAATAAACATTTGTTAATTTTCACAAAGAAATCAAATATTTATTTGTTTATTATTAATTACTTAGTTTTATTTCAACTTCATACTTTTTGTCATTATTTACACACACATACATTTATATATATGAAGAAAAATATACGGAAAAAACAAACAAAAATCCTAATATGCCATTATGCTGTTTTAATGTTAATATAATATCAACGTCGGACGTTTCGGTCTAATAGACCATCTTCAGGACATATTCATAAAACATAATTAACATAGACCATATTCAATTCAACATGGAAAAGACGATGGGCATAAAAGCAAGACCAATCCAAACAGATAACTGAAATCTTTTATAAGATCAGAGTTCCGTTTATATATGATCACGTCGTCGTCACGTGGGCGATGTTGTGAAAACGTATTCCTAAAATTTGAGTATTTTGAATGAAAAACGAAAAGAATTTTATTTTGATCTAAAACTTATATGTACGTTCGTCGAGCATTAATCTTGCTAGAAAAGGAAATATTAAAAAAATAGCTCTAGTGTTCACCGTGCGTGAGATAGATATTACGCCTGCTTCATAAATCCGCCTAAGATTTTTATTATGAAAATATTTTAAAATCTTCACAGAATCAAAATCGAAATATGAAAAAAAAAAATATGTATACATTTTTGTAGGCCAGTACAATGTTATGAAGATAAATGACAAAGTGGAAAAAATCGTGTGATATGACACGTCATTTAGGATTTTATCGGATTAAAAAGTGATGTTTACATTGAAGGCGAGAAGACATTGAAAATTTAAACTTTAAAATTATTATTATTCTTTTAAATATGTGTTTGGGTATATAGTCTAACCAATTTCATTTAATTTATGTTTATTACTTTCCTTCTTAAGTATCCAATATTGTGATAATAGAAATGCCAACAAAGGTGAAATATTATAAGGACTTCGACGCAAAATTTATTGTGGATGATCGAGCAATTCTCTCTCTCTCTCTCTCTCTCTCTCTCTCTCTATATATATATATATATATATATATATATATATATATATATATATATATATATATATATGATAATAAGAAGACGGAAACTTTAATGATTCATTTCGTTTATAATTTTTATTTCGTGAACACTGAGATGTTCAGCTCATCAGAACGAAATGGACTTTGCGAAGGAGATTTCGTTCTGATGAGTTGAACATCTTGGTGTTCATGAAATAAAAATTATAAACGAAATGAATCATTAAAGTTTCCGTCTTCTTATTATCATTATAATGCTCTGTCGTCTATATTGAGCTCTCCCTGGATTTATATCCTCCTCGGAATCATCCCTTCCAGTCACCAACTGGTAAAACGTACGTACGTACGTACGTACGTATCTATCTATCTATCTATCTATCTATCTATCTATCTATCTTAGTGACTTCTACAAAAAGCGCGATACCTAATGAATTTTAAAAATTGAAAAATCTTTCTTAATACTTTTATTTAATTTTTAATTTGAAGTGAATAGATTAAATTTAATATTTCCAATAATCAACATACTTTGATGTATTTCAAAAACTAATTTAAATAGACTAGAATTTTTTTTTTTCTAATATAGCTTGATTAGCGCCCTTTTTAATCGTCTTTCATCGCAATGTAATTCTCTTTATAGAAAAAATCTTCTAAAAATAAAATATACTGTACTGAAATTTTTCTGGCGAAATCTTAGCTGATTTAAAGTATAACTAATCTAATCAGAAAAAAAAATTACTTTCAGTTTAAAATATCGCAGAAATGCATTTTTAAGCCGACAGTAGCTGTGTTGACGTACGGTTCGACGGAGACTTTATCTGTAAAACATAATTGAAGAAAATGACGTGAGCGCTATTTTTATATAATTTTTAAGTACACAGTAATGTTAGAAATTTAAGAAAGTATTCTTCGTAATCTAATGTTTTCTTGAATTTTAGAAATTTTGGCCCTAAATTTACTATATTTATACCTTTTATTTTCTGATAATGTCATATATGGTCGCCCGTACTTACAAAAATCAGCACGTTTCTACACATACAAAAACATTTCTCTTTAAAATACTGGAGGCGGTAAATTGTATAAATTCCATTTATATAGTTTTTATTTAATAACAATACCACTTAACTGCTACAAATTAATACACAATTTTAAGAGATTTTAAACTATAAATTGTTATAAAGAAAATTGAAAAAATGAAAGAATTCTCGTAAAACTTTCATTATTTATCGATATTTTTTCTAATGACAATAATGTCCATAATGTGTTTTATAAAAGTAATTTAAAGAATTTCTAATTAAATAATGTCTTAGTTTTATTGCATTTTTTAATTTAATTTTACGCTTCAGAACAAAATTCATCTTACTAGGGTTTTTGTTTGACCAAAATGATTTGATTATTTAAATTCTCCGAGGACTTGTCCTTATAACTAATATAAATGCAAAAAAAATTTCTACAAATTTCATAATATTAAATAGGTGTGGGGGTAACAAATGTAAAAAACAAAATATGCCACTACCTTCTAAAAAAAATAAACGTTTCAAAAGCAATTTAATTTATTTGGGAATAAGTTCTGAAAGTTTCAATAAAACTTGACAGTTTTCTGATTTTTTAAGAAATTTCAAAAGCAATGTGTTTTTCATCGCAAAAAGACACCCAAATTTCCTATAATAATTTATGGTCCTCCATTGACGCTAGAGAAACAAGATTTATAACGTTTATAACGAGCCGACTTTTGAAAATCCGGAAGTATTTTACTACAAGTATTTCCCCCATTGCACAATAATTTATGGTCCCCCATTGACGCTAGAGAAACAAGATTTATAACGTTTATAACGTGCCGACTTTTGAAAATACGGACGTATTTTACTGCAAGTATTTCCCCCATTGCATAATAATTTATGGTCCTCCATTGATGCCAGAGAAACAAGATTTATATCGTTTATAACGAGCCAACTTTTGAAAATGCGGAAGTATTTTACTACAAGTATTTCCCCCCATTGCACAATAATTTATGGCTCCCCCATTGACGATAGCGAACATGATTTATAACGTTTATAACGTGCCGACATTTGAAAATACGGACGTATTTTACTACTAGTATTTCCCCCATTGCATAATAATTTATGGTTCCCCATTGAGGCCTGAGAAACAAGATTTATATCGTTTAAAAAGAGCCGACTTTTGAAAATATGTACGTATTTTACTACAAGTATTTCCCCCATAGCACAATAATTTATGGTCCCCCATTGACGCCACAGAAACAAGATTTATAACGTTTATAATGCGTCGACTTTTGAAAATACGGACGTCTTTTACTACAAGTATTTCCCCAATTGCATAATAATTTATGGTCCTCAATTGACGCCACAGAAACAAGAATCATAACGTTTATAATGTGTCGACTTTTGAAAATACGGACGTCTTTTACTACAAGTATTTCCCCAATTGCATAATAATTTATGGTCGCCCATTGACGCCACAGAAACAAGATTTATAACGTTTATAATGTGTCGACTTTTGAAAATACGGACGTCTTTTTACAATTATTTCCCCCCATTGCATAATAATTTCTGGTCCTCAATTGACGCCCAGAAAGAAGAATCATAATTGTCACTTTTGAAAATACGGATTTACTGCAATATTTCCCATAATAATTTATGACGCCCATTGAGAAACAAGAATTATAACGTTTATAATGTGTCGACTTTTTGAAAATACGGACGTCTTTTACTACAAGTATTTCCCCAATTGCATAATAATTTATGGTCGCCCATTGACGCCACAGAAACAAGTTTATAATGTCGACTTTGAAAATAACGTCGTTTATAATTGTTTCCCCATTATAATAATTTCTGGTTTTGACGCCACAGAAAGAAGAAATAACGTTTATAATGGTCGTCTTTTTGAAAATACGGACGTCTTTTACTACAAGTATTTCCCCAATTGCATAATAATTTATGGTCCATTCAATTGACAGAAACAAGAATCATAACGTTTATAATGTGAACTTTTGAAAATACGGACGTCTTTTAACGTTTATTTCCCCAATTGCATAATAATTTATGGACTTTTGACGCCACAGAAACAAGAATCATAAAATACGGACGTCTTTTTGAAAATACGGACGTCTTTTTACAAGTATTTCCCCAATTGCATAATAATTTATGGTCGCCCATTGACGCCACAGAAACAAGATTTATAACGTTTATAATGTGTCGACTTTTGAAAATACGGACGTCTTTTACTACAATTATTTCCCCCATTGCATAATAATTTCTGGTCCTCAATTGACGCCACAGAAACAAGATTCATAACGTTTATAACGAGCCGACTTTTGAAAATCCGGACGTATTTTACTACAAGTATTTCCTCCATTGCATAAATCTTGTAAACATAAGCCTAGGAAGAAAGTTTTCAACACCTCATAAAAACAACTGTGTTAAAAACAACGTTTTCTGCGATTTTTTTTAATTATAAGTTACAGTAGGTTTAATTCAAAATTAATTAAACTTAAACTCACTTAATCTTCTTCAAATAAAGTTTCAGAAATGTGTATTTTATTTTTGAAAGATGTTTTAATAAAGATAATTATGTTGTGTTGACAGATTTGTCAATATGGCCGATTTTAACGATTTAAAGGAAATAATTCCGAGCAATTTAGATTCGGTTTGAAATACAGCAAAGTATTTTACTTATTTGAATGTTAAATTAAAATCTATTAGCTTGGTATAAATATAAAAATAGAAATAAAAACTTTAAGAAAAGATTTCAATTTTAAAATGCATTTTAAACTTTAGGTATCGGTGTTTTTTGGAGGCACACACATACACACACACACAGATACACACACACAGAGACACATATATAGAGAGAAGGTAAAATGTATTTTTTGTTAGTGTTTTTAAATCTGATTAAAACTTGACAAGGATACGCATAACTAAATGTTTCACTGTGATGGCACTGCCTATATAATCCGTCTGTGCTTTGATGGAACCGCTTAAAATAAAGTATATTTAATTGGAATTAAAATAAATGTTTACGGACCCCAAAATCTCATTTTAAATTACTTCTTTGAAGTTAAATTTTGGTTTAATTTGAGTGTTACTATTCTAATGCTAATCTGTATTAAAAGAAAAATAAATTCCGTATGTAAATAAAGTTTTCAGGCATTTTTATAACATTGGCACGTTTACTCATCACTCGTCGACTCATAGAAACGCCATTATAGATTAAATATTTAAACAATAAATTTGAAATCTCTTAAAAAATCGAATGTTTGTCCTAGAGATCTGTAGCAAAATAAATTGGTAAATTTAAGAATTAATTCACTGGATTTTAAAAAATTAAAGCTTATATTTTGCTGAAAACATAATGAAAATAACGTTTATTTACGCATTATAGCCTGTGATGACCGTGGCCAGTAATAAAGTCACATTAAAAAGTCACAGAAAATAGTCACAAGGCTAGGAACAAAGTTATAGGGAAAAAGTCACAGCTATTTTATGGTGGCCGGTAATAAAGTCATCTATTTCTGTCGGCTTTCTCCCGTTCTGTTTGCAACAGAAATTCATAGTAAATCGATCCTATCTCTACAAAGAAAGGTTTTCTAGCAAAACTACCGTCACATATTCGATATATTTCATAGTCAGGGAGTCCTAGTACAACGTAAGACCCGACTTTATGTGAATAAAAGTCTCAATTTGTCATTAAAACTTGAATTAAAATTCCCTTGGATCTTCAATTTATTTACGAGATTAGGATATTGTCCTCTTTCGGGATAAGTGGCTGCGATTTTGTCTGATGAATATTTGTCCGCTGTGTTTTTTCCCGCTATGTGCTAACCTTGTTCTGTTTCGTTTTTGCTGTAACATTTTTTTTTTTACCTAGATGTCATAGGACAAGAACAGTAGCTTTTGAAATCAGGGCTGAAAGCGCGTGAGAAAATTTAACAAAGATAAAGAGATACGGAACATCAGCAGTGCAATAACCAAGAAATTAGCATTTATGTTTAAAAATAAATTTTCTTTAACCTTATATAACCAATAATTTAAGAATATAATTTTAGATTATACTATTTTATGAAACTTAGTAGAATTAATAATTTTAGGTTTGTACTATTTTAGAAGTATAAAAACGAATTTAATTAAAAACGAGTGAAATACATTTGAGATCAGTTCATTTCTTTGATTTTCTTATTATTTTCTTATCTTTTTGATGCTATAAATTATTTATTTTCACCCAAAGAGTTTATTATTATTATTATTATTATTATGAACTTAGAAGTTATTGAATTATCATGTCATATTACTCTTCCGATAGAGAAAAGTTGTCAGTCAAAGAAAGTAATTCAAAATCCGTATAAAAATAATCTAACAGTTGTTAAAAAAATTCTTTTAAAATTG